CCATTCCAGAAGCGTGTCGGGGAACAGCGTGGCGCGGGCTTAGTGCCGTGCGGGCATGGGCGACAGGGCCAAACCGTGCCCTGGAAAAGGTCAACAACTGGGCAAGAGGCAACCAACTATGGACAGATCAGGATTCCGCTAATCGTCGACCATTACCTGATTGAGAATCCTTGCACCACGACACCGAATTAGAGCGAGGATGACGATGCAGCGAATGACTCGGAATGTTGGTTCACAATCAGGCGAGCTCGATGATAACGCTCGCTAAGTTGACCCGCGGCGGCCCCGTATTAGTTTGGCCCCCGAAACCCTGTGGTGGTTAGTGGTTCCCTCCGTTGCCCGACTAATGCAGTATTAACTCCAACACTGCCTATCATTGAGGCTGAACTGCCTTCTCTGGGTGTGTTGGGCAAGAGACGAGAGGGCAGCAAGGCCAATCAGACGATGGAATGTGGATGCGTGAAATTGGGCTGGAAGCCACGAGGGTGTGGAAATAGTCTGACGCCAGAGACTGGCAAAAAGACAATTTCAAGCGCGCATGTAATGTTGGCGCACTCACCGTCTTTGCGGCTCTCTCGGGGGATCGGACGGTCGGAGAGGCCTGGAGACAGGCCTAACCTTTGGCCCAGATCGATCATTTCCTCTGGTGGATGCCGCCGTTCTGTCAATCCCCAAACACGAGGGCCACCATCCTTGCAGCCCAGAGGCGCCGTCTTACGACGATGCCATTCAAACCTTCCACGGCGGAATCGAATACCCACCTGGAAGTAAGGAAAACTAAATTGCATCAAGGATCGTAAAATAAAATGCAGAAAATTGGAAAAATAAAAAAAAAAGGAAAAACCGAAAAAGGGGGACCTCGCCCAAAATCGCGAATTTTGACTGGCCGATTCGAGTAGGTTGACATCCAGACGCCCGGCCTAGAAGATTGTCGGCCGTCGCTGCAGGGGCGCACTACTCCGGCTTCCCAAGGTGCACTCCAACCTGATGCTCTCGACAAATAATGGCTCAGTCTGTTCAGTCGATGCGGCTCAACAATGGCCTTGACTCCACGCTCCTCTCGGTTCGCAGTGACCCATCGCGTGTACCGCCCTCGTAGGCCAGTACATAACCATGGCACCCCCAGCTGAAGAGGTACTGCTTCTGGTTTCTGTTGCTATAAAGCAGCGACTTTTCAGCTGGCATAGCTTTGGATCCCTGGAAAGCAAGCACAACATCGCAGTTTATACATAATGGCCCACTTCCAACCCTTCTCAGACCTCCCGCATACATCCTCCAAGGACGATCTGGCCCAGGATTATGAACTGTTTCCCTGTCAGTACGAGCCTTATTCGGACCCCACGACTATCCAACGCCCTTCAAGCTTCCAGTTCCATCTCTCTCCTGTCGACCTACCTATGAAGAACCCTTACATCGCCCCATCCATGTCGTGGTCAAACGAGCCGGTCTTACCTCACAACACCGACTCATTGACTGCTGCTTCTTCTGATTTTGGCTCACCTTGGAGCAATGAACTCGTCTCTAGTCCGGAATCAAAAGACAGTCTCGCCACCGGAAGTTCGAGTTGGTTCAGCATGGGATGCTATATGTCTCCTCCATACACCTGCGATGAAGTCGCACTCCCGCCACTGGGGTTCGGATCTTGTTCTTCCCCATCTGCCCTAACAGACGTTGACAGTCTGGTGGCGCCTTCCCAAGTATATCCCGACCCCGACCCTATCGTCAAACTTGAGACAGACTCGGAGCATGTTATGGGCGGAACCTTTTGCTATAATAGCCCTCCCCAACACGATGAATTTGACACTTCCTGTGACATCAAGAGTTGCCAATACGCAGAGAATACGATTCAGCAAGAAGCCTGCAGCTCTTCCGGCAATCAGTTCAAGGCGCCGAAGCTATCTAGCACGAACACAGGCCGCATTAGCAAGAAGCGACCTCGCAAAACGTCCACCAAAGCAAGACCTACCTCCGCAGCTCGGGCCTCTACCAAGACCAGCGGTAAGAAGGATGGTGCAAAGACCAGCCGGGTGTTCATCTGCAGTTTCTCCCACTATGGATGCCAGAGTACCTTCGTTTCGAAGAACGAGTGGAAGCGCCATGTGACCTCGCAGCACATCCAACCTGGATTCTACCGTTGTGATGTCGGACGCTGCAGTCTGGACAACCTCAGCAAGAATAAGGGTCAGGACGCGAACAACAGTTGTGCCTCTTTTAACGAGACACATCTCGTTAACGACTTCAACCGAAAGGATCTCTTCACTCAACACCAGCGACGCATGCACGCTCCCTGGGTCGGGCGCAACAGCAAAAAGCCTGAAACTGAGAAAGAGCGCGATGATTTCGAGCTGACCCTTGAAGCTGTTCGGGCTCGCTGCTGGCATGAGCAACGCAAACCACCTACACAGAGCGCCTGTGGCTTCTGTGGACAGCATTTCCTCGAATGGAATGATCGAATGGAGCATGTTGGCCGTCACTACGAGAAAGGTGACGTGCAATATGAAGCCGAAGATACGTTCTTGCGCCAATGGGCAATTGAAGAAGACATCATTCGGCAAGTGGATGGGCAGTGGAAGTTGGTCGGCCTTTGCGAGAAGTGAAGTTGAAGTGAAGGCTACTACTGCCTCCCCCCAAAGTATCCAACTGCTGCCCCTCCCCGCCTTCCTCTTTCTCTTCTCTAGCCTCATATTTTCTGGTCCTGGGCTTCCTCTTTTATTTCGTTTCTATTTCCTTTGTTTTATTCTGCTACTTCCTTTTAATACTCTCGGACTGGTTATGGATTTTGCACATCTATGTGCGCGGACTGACTGAGATGATGATTGATGACTGATATCCTGTATTCACTATGTTTATGTCATGTTTATTGGACCCTTTTGAGGTTTCCCCTGGTTTTGCACAATACCCCATACATATCGAGAGAAAGGAGCAAGGGACTGCTGAGCTACATGGTTTTGGTTTTCGGCATTATTCTAGCATGAGGAGTTCATGACGAATAGAGAATGCGATGATACATATTCATTACTACCACTATACTGCATAAGATACTAGTATTTGGTACTTAGTACCCAGAGAGTAAACCTCCTCCCATAAGATAATACTCGACAGGTACTCCGCAGATGAACACAGAAGTGAGTAATTTACCCTCAGCCGCAGCGACGGTTAGATCGGCCAACCGATTCAGCTCGCCTCACATTTCCAGAGACCCCCTCACCAATCATTCCCAGACACTAAACTAGCATCGTCCGGTGCATGTCAGCATAGCCCCCAATCCCAGATAACTGCAAATCCACAAGAAATATGGTCCCCGAAAGGGAGTGAAACGTTCCACGTGGCACGGGTACCCCCGGCGCCCCATAACAAGAATTGCCCATCCCATCAGTATAGTACTGAACTGACTGACGTACGTAGCTGACCCCTTTCTCTCTTCCTTCCTTCTGTCCTTCTAGTCTAGTCCAGTTACTTCAATCCCAGATCGACGGGTACACAGGATCATGCCACGGGCCTACTACCTGAAACGATAGTTCGTCCTAGATACATGCTGACACCTTCGTGGCTTTTGGTCGTTGATCGTGCAGGCCCATGGCGCATTCCTGATATGCTCGGTAGGCATGTATACCGGTTCTAGAGATGCGCCCGATAGTGTAATGTAATGTGTTAGTCCTGGAGGTACTCCGGACACAGTATGAAAATCACCGAGATTGATCGGCAAACAGAATATCCACTTACGAACACGTACGTATCTGAGTGGACCTCCCTCTGTGCGTCTAAGAGTACTCCGTATGTATCGGCCGCCCAGAACCTATCCGCCGGCCGGTCGAGCTAGACTAGTGTATCAGAATTCAGCTGGGACTGGCTGGTGGGTGAGATTTTAGTTCGCATACAGATCGGCGGGTCAGCTGCATGCACCTTCATCTGGACTGAATGGAGAGCATCGACAGACCGTTTTCAGTTGTAATCTGTAAGTTGGAATAAACGGGGACCTTTCTAGCGTTAGACTAGTGTATGTAATCAGTCCGTAATGCATATTGAGTCGCTCGTGGAATTTGTTTGCTTCCTTGCGTTCCTTCTTGTTTTGATAACAGCTGAACAGGGTTCTGGAATTCTCGTGCCATGTGGTCGGATTGTATCCGGGTTGGCTCGCAGTACGTAAACAGTTGTCCAGACTGATGCGCGCGCTTCATCCTTCTGTAAGGAGTGCCCTTTCTTTCTTTGTGCACTTCTTCGTTTCTATTTCCGGCCCTCGCTGGGTGTATACTCCCTGCTCTTGTTTAGACGCCCGGAACTTCTTTGGGACCGGTACCGAGCAGCGCGATGATAGTAATGTCACAGATTTATAGGCTCGTGTCGAGAACAATGTCGATCTTCCCAATTGCTATTTTGGGGCGCAGCGGTGGCCAATATATTCCTGACAGCCATTGAATATGCAGTTAAAACCAACAGGGCTTAGACATCTTCTTCCAGAGCAGCAGATAGTTGTACCGAAAACAGATAGGATCGGATTGTTGCCTGGACACCAGTAGTCATAGAAGCTTTATTGTAGGCGGTAGTGTCGCTAGCCCATTAATGCTGGTCAGACCTGGCTGGTCTGTTGCTTTTGGACAATAAGATGAGACAATAGTCTCGCCAGTGAATTGTAAGAGCGTAATCTTGATACGCAGAAGAATATTTGCACGGAAATCTTATTAGTTGCAGTCCAGATCTGTGCCGTTACTGCTATGATATCCATGTGGTGAAGACTGGTTACTATATTCCTCGTGTTGACTGTTGGCAAAAACCAGCCATTGAATGCTCCGACGGGCAGGCTATGACGCGTGCGGGGATTCCAAAGTCAACGCGGGGTTCCAGTCTCCCGACTATCTACTACCTACGCATTACTACTCGGCCACCACTTAATCAACATTCTGCAGTAAATGCAAAACATGCTATCCGTGAAGATTATCCCTCTTAGCACCGACTATATCCTGAAGACAATTCAAGCAGCCTAACTCAATCTCTATTCCAACATGGCTTCGCAAAACCCCACTCCATACCCGTTCGAATTCGACACCTCCGACCATATTGAAACACACAATAATACCACCACATTAACACTCAAGAATGTCCGCGGCAATATCCCATCTGCACTGACCTCTCGTCTACGTACAATGTGGCTAGAAGCTCACCGAGATCCTACCAAAATCATAGCCCACCCTTGTGGCTACGACGGCCTTTCTGCGCGACTGATAGAGGAAGCTGGCTTCCCTATGATATTCATTTCCGGATTCGCAGTGGCAGCCTCTCATGGTCTCCCGGATACCGGGTACATCGCCATGGGAGAAATGTCCGCCCGAATCCAGGAAATAGTTCGTGTGACTAGTATACCTATTATGGTGGATGGAGATACCGGGTACGGGAGTCCTATGAATGTGCGACGCACTGTGGAGTGTTTTGCTGCGGCGGGTGCAGCGGGCGTGATGATCGAGGATCAGACATGGCCGAAGAGTATGTATTGGTTCTTTGGAGATGCGTCTTCATGATAAACGGGGTCAAGACTAACGGAAGCTGTGTACAGGATGCGGCCACACAAAGGGTAAATCGGTTGTATCTCGAGGCGAAGCCTACGCGAGGATACAGGCTGCTGTTGATACACGTAATCAGGGACGGGATATTTTTATCTTGGCAAGGACGGATTCATTGATCCACGGGTGGGACGAAGCGATGACTCGGGCGAAAGAGTTCAAGCGCTTGGGGGCAGATGGCGTCTTTGTTGAGGCGTTACCTGACAAAGAAGCTATGAGGAAGTGCGCAGAGGAACTGGATATCCCTTTGCTTGCTAATATAATTGAGGGCGGAATGTCGGAGAACTTATCTGCTAGGGAGCTAGCAGAGTTGGGGTTTGCAGCTGTCGCATACCCCTGGACGCTGGTAGCTGCAAGGCTTAAGAGCATTCGGGAGGCTTTGGATGGTCTAAAGCGCAGTCTAATGACTGGGGCTCCACCTATAATACTTGGGTACTCTGATGTCTGTGAGGGTGTTGGGTTCAACAAGTATTGGGTAAGTTTAGTATCACTAGCTTGCGGGCTCGTATGCTGATCTTTTCACATAGGATTTGGAGTCAAGATATGAGTATGATGAGGAAGGTCTCACAAACCCTCCCAAAGCTGCTTGATCATGACACCACCTACATCAAATGGGAACTTGCCTGACTGAATTTCCCGAAATCGGCTCCGCGGACATGGACTCTGAACATCGATGACCCGGACTCTTGCCTAGCTCAGCGCTAATACTACAAAACAATGAATTAGGGAATAGCACTGAGATATGATATCATACGAACAGCACATACACGCGAATGACCCATATTCATGTCAAGCCAAAAGTTTGATGCGGTTGAATCCTCAACTGCTGGCGGGGCTGATGGCCCACCTCGGCTTTAAGCCACTCGGCGTTCATATCCGTAAAGGGCGCTTGAGACCGGACGCTCGGCTTTAGATACCACTTACAGATTAGGCTTCGGCTCGACGAATTCTCGGCCTGAGGCGTTCAGCCGACCAGCCAGCCCTATGGCTATATCTACTGACCGATGGTATCCATAAAAGTCTTGAACCCCTCCGAGGCGATGATACAATCGGAGATAAAATCGGAGATGTAGTGGCGCAGCAATGTAGAGAGGGTAAAGTGGACTCACTCCTACTGAGGAAATAGTGGTCCTCTACGTTGAACGTAGCAGCATTATGGTATAAATACCCACTGCCAGCACCGGTCCTCGAGATGCTCAAAATCAACAGACATAGGTGTTTCATTTGAAGATCTCCTACTCCAAACAGTTACATCTATTCTCATACCCTGACCCAGAAGTTACTTTCACAGTACTTGACATTCATCTACTACTATAACATCCTACCTTCAACAACCAAACTACAACCTACTGCTTTCTCAAACACAATTATGGCCTCCCAAGACACCGTAAGTCTTCGACAACAAGCAAAACCAGCCTCAGGCCTTCTACACTTACATCAAAACTAATACCTATCTACCCCAGATCCTTCAAACCAACGCCCAATTGGCCCGGGACTACATCCTGTCCCAGCCCAGCGATGCCCTAAACCACAACCCCTGGGCCGTATACCAAGCCCTCGACCTCTTCAGCCGCACCGCACGCCTCATGAACTTCAAGCAAGCCAAGCTCAACGTCGCCAAAGAAGCCCTCACGTCCATGGACCCCCCACCCAAAGTTGTGATCGAATTTGGCACCTACATCGGGTGCTCCGCCGTCGCATGGGCTGCCATTCTCCGCGACCTGCACGGTCCCTTCGCCGAGGGGCTGCACGTCTACACCTTCGAGGTCAGCGAGGAGGTGGCGAGCGTAGCGAGGGACATAATCCGCGTGGCAGGCGTCGAGGACATTGTGCATGTGTTGGTGGGGCCTGCGTCAGAGTCATTGGCGAAGCTGGTTGAGGAGGGCAAGATTGTGAAGGGAGGAGTTGATATGGCATTCTTTGACCACTGGGAGAAGTTTTATCTGAGTGATTTGAAGCTGTGTGAGGATTTGAGCCTCTTTAGAGTCGGATCGAGTGTGATTGCTGACAACACGGATATTCCGGGAGCGCCGGATTATCTGGAGTATTTGAGGGCTGGGGGACGAGGTGGGGAGGGATCCGTGAAGTATGTGACGAAGTCGGTGCAGTCGGAGCATATTGTTGAGAGGAGACCGGTAAGTTCGATTGAACTCTTGTGTTGTTGCGCTGCTGGGGTTGTGGATGTTGGCTAATCATGACTGCAGAATATGGTGGAGGTCTCTACTGTTGTGGCGGCTCCTTGAGGGGGTAATGGTCTGGATTTGGGGAGGGACTTTGATACTGGTTATCATGATAATGAGCGTTAAGATTTAGTGTCTTGTATGACATTTTTTGTATGCTGCGTTGTTTTTGAAGCTTGATATCAATCATCCTTTAAGATAGCAGGTTGATCTTGCAAATTCGAGTTATTGATATTACTGGCACATTTCCTCGAGTTTAGTAGAAATAAAAACAACGACTATAGCCGCAACAACTAGAAAACAAGCTCACGAGCAATGCAACTCCAGAATGTATTACTATCTTGTTTAGCAGCGAGAACAATGCTGCCATCTAAAACTCGACAGCAATGTATGAACACAAGCACACTATTGGCTGACACCCCCTACCTCAGGGCGGTGAAGACACAACCACCCTGAGCAATAGGTGCAGTATAGACAACCCACCCAACCAACAAGCAGCAGCGCACTCCGCAATGTCTCCGGCAAAGACGCCCATGCTATGATGACACCAACAACAATTACGATGTGAATGCGCAAACACACAAACAATCCCCCTCTACCATCACCATACCTACCAACAACAAGCAAATCCAAGTGATGCTGCATGCGCCAACATCCTGACGCCCTGCTCAAAAGGACAACAACACTTGTCCGACCCCGACACCTATAATCACCATCACGAGCCCCCTCCTCCGCAATGTACGTCGCAACCAAAACCCCCCTCCAGCAAAAGCCCAACTCCTAACAATCCCCATATAGGGCCGTATTCTCCCTCATAATAATCAACAAAGCCGGTGGGCTAGTCTACCAGCGTGAATTCCAGCCAGGACTGCGCAAGCTCTCGACAAACGACTATCTCGTCCTGGCGGGCACGTTTCACGGGTACGTACACACCCAACCAATCCAACAGCTACATCCTCCTTACTACACATAGGTTCTCATAAGAGTCACCTACTAAGCATCTCTTCTCATTGATTGTACAGTGTCCACGCCATCACCCGCTCCATCACCCCCAAGCTCCCCCTCGCCCCCGCCGCAGCACTCGCAACAACACCCACCACCGCGACCACACCCTCCCCCAACAATGTCGTTTCTCCCTCCGCCACATCATCAACCCCTACCTCTTCTACAGCTTCATACTCGTACCCGAACCCCGGAGTACCCGCGACGGGTCTCGAGTGTCTAGAAACGGACAAGTTCCGATTAACGTGTTTCCAGACGTTGACGGGCACTAAGTTCCTCTTGTTTACGGATCCGCTGATGGCAAATATCGAGGTGGTTATGAAGAAGATATATGAGTTGTATGCGGACTTTGTTATGAAAAATCCGTTCTATCAGTTGGAAATGCCGGTGAGGTGTGAGGCGTTTGATCGGAATTTGCAGGGTTGGTTGAGGGGGAGGACTTGATTGATGGGATGGGATGGGCTGGGTGGGTTTTATTATTGAGGTTGCGATGTAGTGGTGGTGGGGTTGTGAGTGATGTCTTTTCTTTGTTTCTATAATTTTGCTTTTGGTTTTGCGGTTGCATGCATGGACATGTTTGATATCTGGGCGTCATAGTTTGTATCATGGAACAACAACAAGTTACGATGGCGATAGATCTGCATATTAGATCGCATCCGTTTCAAAAGCGAGTTGCCGGAGAACCAACCGCTTTCTACAATTACAGCAAGAAAACGAAAGTACATTAAAAACGCCGGGTATGCATCAAATCATCCAGGAGGTTGTTCTGGTCTCCACATTAAGCAGTGTCCATCTTGTCACCATCCTCTTTCTTGTCTTTGCTCCCGCTGGAGCCCTCCTCGGGAATGTTGTCCAAGTTGGCCTTGCGCTCTTGCTCCTCCCGGTCCCGCTTCTCCTTTTCTTGCCGGTTCTTCTCCTCTTCCAGAGATAGACGGAGGGCGAATGCCAGTTCGGGGTCGTTCTCAGCCGCATCCTCGAATCCAAAGCCACCATCACCACCTTCAGGACCTGCACCATCGGCACCGGAACTGTCCCCACCGAGGATGGGAGTGACCTGAAGCTCCTCACTCAGCAAGTTGGGGCCCGGGGGAATGATGGCGAGGTTAGAGCCGTCGCCACCCTTGACGTTCTCGACGAATGCCTCCAGTTTCTTGGTCTGATCGGACTCCAGATCTCCGAAGGCAATCACATCGATGGACACATTGTTCTTCTTCATCTTCTTGGCCAGCTTCACTAATGTCTTCTCGTCTTCTTCAATGGGAGAGCAGGAGAACACGATGATGCGCTGTCTCTGGGACTTCTCGGAGCGGTGTTTGAGGGCAAGCTGTACCAATAACCAGGTTAGCAATCAATCTCACGGATAGTACAGTATCTAAAGAGAGAGATGATGAGTAGTTTTGAAAACATACACCGGCCACTTGTATACTGGAGCTAAGGTGGGCAGTGCCATGGATCTTCGTGCGATGCAGACCGGCCAAGATACCACCAAAGTCGGTGGTGAATGTCGAAAGGACCTCGGGACCCTTTCCACCCATGCTCATAAGGCCGACAGCAGACTGAGGGTGCACGCGCATCTTAGTGGTGTGAATGACGCTCACGGCGTCGATCTGAGCTTGCCATCGTGTCGAGCTGGTAGCTGTTAGAAACGGAACCAGGAGGTCGATTCTGAGTAGCTCAGAACAGGCAACTTACGTATAATCGCCATTTCTGCTGCTTTCGCTATTGTCGACACTGGAGATGGCGTTAGTAGGTGCGCACAGAGCTTGGATGAAGGTGGCTAAACGGACATGATCATGGTAGCTTCGAGCGACATCTTGGAAGGAGATTGGCGGGGTCGATGCTAGAAATGTATGTGTATGATCAATCAAATTTGGAAAGAAGCAAGAATTTCTGAGAAGTATATGTTCGGAGCGTGGGAGCAAGGAAAGCGATGGGGGGAAGTGGATGATGGAGGTTGGCGGAGGAGGGATGATGATGGAGCTGCTGCTGCTGAGGACGCAGATGTCACACCGTCCCGATCGGAGCTAACCACGAATTAAGTCAGCGCTTGTTTATCCTCTCCGCCATCCGCTTTCCTCCAGAACTCACTCCAACGCGCTCCCCTCCGTCTCTCGACTTCTATCCCTTCCGCCCCAACTCCTCCACACAACACATTATACGCAATCCAGCTCACCTATAACTCCTTTTATTGCTGTTGCTCACCACCCACCTCGACTACTCACGATTGCGCCCAATGACTTCACTCTCTTCCAAGCGCAAGTCTCCCGAAGACGCGTCCCACAATGACGAAGCAAGGACACCTGAGAACAGCCCTCCTCGGAAGAAGCTTCGAATTACCCGCAGACAAAAGCAAGCTTTGATTGACAACTTGCAGCTCGAACGTGCGCTCTCTCGATATCTCGCTTATCTTGAAATCCCACTAACATGGCCACAGTCACCGAGCGCGCCCGCAAACTTCGCGCACAATATGCCCTCCAGGCGAACGACCTTCGAGCACGGATTGAAAGACGCGTGAATCGGATTCCCGTTGCTCTTCGTAAGGCGACAATGGGTGAGCTGCTGGAGAAACACATGGCCTCTATCAGGGCCCAACAAGCGAATCTCTCTCCACGGAAACTCCTCAGCCCAGCCAAGGCGTCAAGGAGTTTTAGAACCGTTTCCGTTAGCCCCAATGTGCGCAAGGCCTCTGCTGCGAGCCCCAGTGCCCGCAGAGTCAAAAAGCAAAGGTATGGCCTGAACACATTACATGTACAATTGTGTATTGTTGAGCTTAGCTGACTCGACCATCCAGCCACGGAGAAATCTATTCCGACAAGGAAAACGCACCTGCAGCTGGCGAACAGCTCGATGTCCTCAAGAATCCCAAGAGACGTGGACCTGGTGCCGCTGCTGGTACTTCACGTGTTGTCTCCCAGGAGATGAGGGGTGCAGACTACAGAATTCTCTCTCCCAAGACATCCAACTCCAGAACATATCCACACTCGCCGCTACGCGCCTCACCCGAGAAGCCCACGAACTCTTCCTACCTTGCAAGACCCATGTCGCCTTTGAAACCCACCAGTCCACTCAAATCTACATCCGCTAGCATTCCTGCACTAGCAGACAACACTCGCATCCGGCCAGTCAAGAGTACATCCACCTCAATCAAGGACAACAGACCCCCATCACAGGCCAAGAGACCTGCCAGCCGAGCCGCTACAGCTACTAGCAAAACTACGCGCTCACCACTGCCAAGGCCAGCAACTCGCCAGCTCGAACGCAGAGGCAGTGTGTCATCGTCCGCATCCTCCGGAACAACCGTTGCCAAGCCAACAAGAACAGGTGCCGGTGCCCGGAAGGCAACGACGGCATCGACTTCAAGCGCCACCACGAAGAAGACAACAGTCGCCCGGAGCCAAGCAACCTCCGCCACCGCGAAGAGAAACACAACCTCCGCTACCAGCAAGAGAGCTCCCACTCCTGCCGGTGGTGAAGCAGCTCCAACTGCAGCTCGTAGAGTCCTTCGGAAACGCGCATAAGTGCTGTATCCTCAACTTAACTTAAACCCTTTGTAGTTAGCATGTTTTGTTTCATTCATTGCCTTAGTTGGAGGGACATGGAGTAAAGGGGTGTATTATCTCTGGACGGGATCATAATATGGAAGGGATAACTGGTGTACAATTGGAGTTTTGTCCTGCCTTTTTCCCAATCAGGTCTTTTTCTGACCATACTGGTTTTTGTGAATCCGTTTCTCTTTCATGATTCTGCCGCTTATTGATTAACTATCACCGAAATCAAGTGGCCTTTCTTTCGAGTATTCGAAACATTCCCATCTTTATTGATCTTGCTCGTAACTTTGGCAGGCAGAGCAAAGCAGCCTTCACGGGCTATAGTAGCAGTACTACATACTATCCTTGATAACCAAAGTAGTTTAATAGAATTGGGAGCAATTGCAGATAAGGTTCTCCATATGATCAGTTTTAATGTTCATAAAGAGTACTATGCGTACACCGTAATGATCATGATTAAGATTGTTGCTAGCTAGCATTAGAGACCAACAAATACTAACTGGAGAAACGTCTTCAAGAATCCCACTTTTCAAATACTGATTACATTGGTTCTCGAAACATTGACGCTTACAAGGAGCAAGTAGCAAGCAGCACACAACTTTGCGCACCTTAACAGAGTTGGCACTATGGCATTCCTTTCACAATTGTATGTAAATTACACCTCCTGTTCTCGATGAAGCATCACATGAAGACATGGATGTGATAGAACCAGTCACGAACAATTCGGGATATCAGAAGAAAAGAAAAAAAAAAGAAAAAAGTTTAAGTCGTATGGGTAGAATGTAAATGGGGGGGTAGAAGAAGTGAAGCAAGAAGGAAAAAAAATAAAAAGAGAAACGAACTGAATGTATGACTCAGCACAGGTATCTTCGCAGTCATCAGACTGGCTGACAAATGAAATCAAGGGTAAACAGAGGATCTCGATAGTCTCACATCTCGATCGGTAGCAAGTTAAGAGAGGCGCAACGCCAGGAAGACGCAAGTGATGTAAGGAACAACAAAGAGCAAAGGAAAGAAAGATGCCAGGAGAGAATGCCCACGCTGGGTCTTAACTGTTAATGCAAGTAGAATGCCAGGAAAGTAGGAATCGAAAACAACACCCAGATCCCAGAAATTGCCAACCCGAACGGGCAGAGGCTCCTGTGGCCACTTGCGCGCGGTTGAAACCCAAATTATAGGCGGCAGTGAGTGAATCATGTCGAGACTCACAACCGAATGCAATGCACTCCACGCAGTCAGTGCGCAACAGAAAAGCAATTAGAAAAGCCTCGATCCATCAGGAGAAGCTGTCAGCCGATCATCTAACTAAACCCTGGAAATCATCTCATTTCAAAAGGAGAACAAACTCCATCCAACCTTATTAAATCGAAAGAACGCTGAACGGTCCAAGAATACGCCAAGAGCTATCACTAGGATGTAGAGGCGGGTAATGCATTGGTAAATGTCTTCGAAACTATGTAGAGAAGCAACGGGCGGGTTGGCATCAAGAGCATGAAATGGCGAAGGACTAGCCAGCAACTCCCATGGGCCCAGCACCGGGACGAGCCCTGTATGGCATTGGCTGAGACTGTCCTCCGGCTTGCATAGGGTTCTGCTGGCTGCCATTACTGGTGCTTCTCTCACGATAGTCATTGGAGGCTGTAGGGGCCAATTCGGTGCCAGCTTGTGGAGTACCACTGGTCGAGTGCTGATGACCACCGGGGCTTTGGACATGGCGAACTGAGCTTTGCATCTGCCATGCCGTGTCCTGGGAGGGATCTGTCTCAATACGGGCAGAAGTAGGGATATTGGCAGCGCGGTTCGAGTTCGTAATTGTAACGGTTTCGCCACCATTGCTTGCCTTGGGAGAAAAGCTTCCGCGCGCGATGTCGCCGTAGCGTCGAAGTATTTCCTTTGTTGTGA